TCACTGGGGACTCCTTTTCCTCTTCCTCTTCTTGTAACTCCCTTGGCCACTGGTCCCCGGAAGGCCTTCTGCTGTGATAGATTGCCCCAGGTACACAGCTGTCAATGTGTTCTTAGTTGGCCTCCAGTCCATTCTGCTGCATGACAACCAGCTTGTTGTGAGACACTGTTATCTCATGGTGATATCATTTTATTTGATTAGTCCCAATCTCCTTCAAACTCACAACATACACTATATTACATTGTTTGATTTCTGGATGTTAAAACAACATTACTTTCCTAGGATTAATCCCACTTCTTCATGGTGTATAATCTTTTTTATATGTTGCTGGATTCAGTTTACTAGTAGTCTTCCATCTATATTCATAAGTAATGTTGGTCTGTAGTTTTCTTTTTTGTGATTGTTCTGTCTGCTTTGAGTATCAGGGTAATAAAGTCTTCATAAAATGCATCTGGAGGGCCCCTTATTTCTTATTCTTTGGAAGAGTTTGTCAATTTGTATTAATTCTTCTTTAAATGTTTTGTAAAATTTATCAATAAAGCCATCTGCCTGAACTATTCTTTGTGGGAAGTTTGTCAATTATTAATTCAATCTCTATACTTGTTATATGTCTTTTTAGATTTTCTATTTTTTCTTGAGTCAGTTTCAGTAGTTTGTGTCTCTCTAGATATGTGTCAAAGTTATCTAATTTGTTGGCATATTGGTGTTCATAGTATTACTTTTAATCCTATTTATTTTTCTAAGCTTGGCAGTGATGGCTCTTCTTTCATTGCAGGTTATAGTAATTTGAGTTGTCTCTCTTTTTCTTGGTCAGACTAAAGATTTGTCTAATTTTTTAACTTTTTCAAAGAACCAATTGTTGGTTTCATTGATTACTTTTATTGTATTTTTCTTCTTTATGTTACTAATTTCCAATATAATTTTTATTATTTCCTTCCTTCTGCTTGCTTTCTTTATGTTACTAATTTCCAATATAATTTTTGTTATTTCCTTCCTTCTGCTTGCTTTAGATTTAGTTTTTATCTTCCTTTTTCAGTATCTTATTGTTGGAGTTTAGGTTGTAGAGATGTAGTTTGTTCTTTTTTAATATAGGCGTTTACAATTATAAATTTCCCTCCTAGCATTGATTTAGCTGCATCCCATAAATTTTGGTATGCTGTGTCTTCATTTTCATTCATATGAAAGTGTTTCTTATTTCCCTTGTGATTTCTTCTCTGACTCATTCATCCCATTTGGGCCCCATTAACCTGCTCCACCCAAATTTGAACCACTCGGCCCACTTATTTAAAAGTGCATTACTGTAAAAACACCAGACTTAATGGTCTCACAGAGACTGGAGGAACCCCCAAAACTGTAACCCCCAGATGCACTGTTAACCCAGAACTTAAACAATTCATGAAGCCCACTCTTCAGATAAAGATTAGATAGGACTATAAAACAAAAAATAATACACGTGAGGAATGTGCTTCTTAGTTTAATCAGATACACGAGACCAAATGAGTGGCACCCCTCTGGAGTCAGGATGAGAACGCAGGAAGGGACAGAACTGGTAGAATGGACAGAGGGAACCCGGGGTGGAAAGGGGGAGTGTGCTGTCACATTGTGGGGATTGCAACTAACGTCGCAAAACAATATGCATATAAATTTTTGTATGAGAAATTAACTTGAGCTATAAACTTTCACCTAAAGAACAATAAATAATAAATAAATAAAAGTGCGTTACTTTCCACATACTCAAGGATTACCCAGTTTTTTGTTGTTGTTACTGATTTATAACTTCATGTCCTTGGATGGACTTTACATGATTTTAATCCTTTGAAATTGATTAAAGACTGTTTTACGTCCTAGCATATTGACTATTCTGGAGAATGTACCATGTTCACTTGAGAAGAATATGTGTTATGGCGTTGTTGGGTGGAATGTTTTTTGGGTATCTGTTTCATATGAGTCGGAATCAACTTGATGGCAACAGGTTTTTGTTTTTTTTTTGGTTAGGCCTAGTTGGTTTATAGTACTGTTCGAGTCTTCTATCTCTTTGTTGATCTCCTATCTAGTGGTTTTAGCCAGTGCTGAAATTGGGATTTGGCCACCTTGCCCTGTATTTAGCACACCTCTGCTATAAGATCAATTCACTAGGTGGGGTGGGTAGCCTCTGATCATCTCAGCTTGCCTCTCTTGGCATGGAACCTCCACCCTATGAGTGAGCTGAGGTAAGAGTGATTGGAGCCCCAGTATTCTTGGACTATCATTCCTGAAGTAGAGTTTCCACTTTAAAAATGAGCGGTGGGTTAAGTAAAAGATCCCCATACTCTTTTGTTGAAGACTTGCTTCATTCTAGGACTCAGAGTGTTGTGTGAAGTGGTCTGCATTTTACTTCTGGAGGTGGGTTAGGAAATATGCATGCCTCTTTCTAACCTAGACATCTTTTTTCTCCATCTCAGGTGAAAGATAACACACCACCTTAGCACAGTGACCACTTACCTGAAAGTCTTCATAAAGTTGTATCATCACCAATGCCTTATTTGCTACCTAGTGAGTCCTGTATTTTCTCTAGTATTCTGTATTAAAATAAGAGTGAAGGAATAGCAATTTGTTAAGGTAAAAGAGAGTATTATTTTTTAAAAACACAAGTTGAGAGATAAGTAGATATAGAATTTTTGATAGTAAGATGCTATTTTTCATCTAATTGGGACTCTGTTCCTTTTTTCTCATTTTTCAATCTATTCTAAAACAGTATTTTTATACAAATAACAAGTACCTTCTACTTGTGTTTACCAAACCCTCTCTTCCCCCACAAGGTATTTTCTTAAGCACATTATGCTAATTTTTTTAACACCAACATGTAAAAAAAATTGGCATAGCAGCCGTTACAAAAAAAACCTTTCATGAGGAGGGAGCTGTTGGCAAACATATGCACAAGGTGCATATTATTTGTGTGAAAATACAGTAGTTCTCAGCAGGAAAAGGGTAAAGGCTGAAATAATATAGTAAGTAGCTTCTCAAGATTTATCTATTGAAATGAAAACATAAGTCCAGAGAGCTGAGAATGTCCCATGGTAGAGAATCTAGTGAAATGGGCCAAGTAAATTATTGTCAGCATCTTTTAGATTTTGTGGACGTGATATAGTATCAAAGGGTGAGGAAAGAACAAATCTAGTGTTAGTTAAATATACGAATTTAACAATTTTATATGAAATTTATATCATTTAATCCTTCAAATATTTCTTAAGAGGTAGATCCTATTATGCATCCCATTTTATATGAGGAAATCAACATGCAGGTATATTATGTAACTCAAAGTAACATGAACAAAAACAATGTAAAAACAGTCTGACTACTGAGCTTGTTCTCTTAACTATTAACTTTTATTACTCTTATATTTTCTCTCTCATTTTATAGGGTAGCATTTCACTTGTCATTGATGCTCAAACATTAGAAGTCACTATTTAATCTTATTCTTACTTCATCAGCTGATCGATTAATATATTCAATTAGTTTACTTGCTATTTTTAACATATTCCCTCTCTTCAATACTTCTAACACAACTTCCATTGTTAAAGCCATTCTCACCTCTTTCTTGGGCTACCACCACATTTTCTAGGTCTCTCATCTATTAATATTTATTGTCTACAGAGTTACCAGTGAAATTTTTGTAAATGCCAATCTGATCTAATTACTATTTTTAAAAAATCTCCATTATTTTCCACCTTTCATCAGAATAAAGGCTGTCATTCATGGCTTGACATGTAGGCATCCATTATTTCCATGGTTTTCTTTTTAAATTTTATTACTCTCTGCCTTGTGCATTAAAAATAAGTTATTAAACTTAATGCAGTGCATCATATGATCCTTTATTTCCCTTTGCATGGAAAACTTATCTAGTTAATCTGACTCAATTCTACACATTTAAAAAAATGTGCTTAGAAAGTTTTCCTTGACCATTATGATCACTTACATTTAGTGGCTCCCTTTGTATCCCTATGTATGTCTTTCTTCACTGCTTTTATTGTATGACATTTTAGTTCTCTATTTTACAAGTTGCTCTCTCTTATTGGCTGTGAGTTTTATGAGTAAAGAAATTATTTATACCTAGGGCCTATATACCTATAGGGAGCCCTGGTGACCCAGTGTTTAAGAGCTCAACCACTTACCAAAAGGTGTGCAGTTTGAATCTACCAGCCCCTCCCTGGAAACCCTATGGGGCATTTCTACTCTGTCCTATAGGGTCACTATGAGTCGGAATCAACTTGACAGAAACGAGGTTTTTTATATACATATTTACCTATTTATTATAGGGCCAAGAAGTTATCAGAATTCAATAAATACTAATTTGATGGATAAATACTCACACAGGCAAATATAACAAAAATGGATTATCTTGATTTTTGGTTTATTCCCAATATAGTTTTCTAATGAGTAGCTACCATTTTCAAGAATAATTTATTGATCTAATAAATATTTAGATAGGGGACAACATACTGACAAACAAAGCCAGAGAACCATGGAAGAGTGTCAGTCATTCAGCCTCTGGAAATAAGGGGGACTCACAAAGTCACCTTAATGACTGTGCAGTGAAAAGTATCAGGTTTCTCATGACACACTGAAAAATATTTCTTAAGTAAATCTAATATTTTGTTTCCTCTGCTTATTATATCAACTTTTGTTACTTCTGCCTATTAGATTTCAAACACACTACCCATTGCTGACTCAAGAAAATTAATACATCCCAAACATCATCAGGAAGAGAGCTGCAAACCTGGAAATATATTTTCTTTTTAAAAAAAATATGGCAATTATTATTTTTACTTAAAATTATAAAGTACAAAGAAAGTCACTTCAAAATCAATAACCACACAAAATATAGCCCAAATGTATTCTTCAGCAGTAAGCACATAGAATCCAAATAAATAAGCCCTCTAACCTAAATATTTCCAACATCAGTGGGAACATTCTTTGCCTCAGTGCTTCACTAAATTATTGTCACTATCCAAAACTTTCATCTATATCACTGTTAAAAAAGAATTAAATACAACTATTTTTTTCTTCAGGATCTTTCTCAGAACTTCTTTGACATCTTTGTTTCTCAGAGAGTAAATCAAAGGATTCAACACAGGGGTGACTAGGGTGTAACATAAAGAGGCCACCTTACTCAGCTCAGGAAATCTGTCAGGAGTGAGATACATAAAAAAGACAGCACCATACAGCACACTCACAACTCCCAGGTGAGAGCTGCAAGTGGACAAGGCCTTCTTACGTCCCTCAGTAGAGCGAATCTTGAGAACTGCAGACACAATATACATGTAAGAAACAATAATGACTATGATGGTAGGCAAGACGATGCTGCTGGATAAAGAAAAAAACACCATTTTATAGAAAGAGAGATCAGAACACAAAATCCTCTGAAGTGGGCGACTATCACAGTAGAAATGGTCAATGGCTCGAGAAGCACAAAAGGGCAAGGTGAAAGTCATGCTGGTCAGAAGAACTGAACTGATGCAGCCACAGAAATAGGAACCAGCCACCAACTGAGTGCAGAGACGTGTTGACATCTGAACAGAGTAGAGGAGTGGATTGCAGATGGCAATGAAGCGGTCATAAGCCATGGCTGCCAGGAGAAATCCCTCAGTCACAATAAAGAGGGCAAAGAGAAAGAGCTGAGTCACACAGCCTGCAAAGAAGATAGACTTGCTCTCAGACCAGAAGTTGATCATAGCCTTGGGTGCAATCACAGATGAATAGAAGAGATCAATGAAGGAGAGGTTGCCTAGGAAGAAATACATTGGTGTGTTCAGCTGGGGATCAGTCATGATAATGACCATCATCCCAAAGTTCCCTAGAAGGATCATGGCATATACAAGCAGAAACAGCAGGAAGAGGAGCATATGCAGCTCTGGGCAGACCCTGAAGCCTACAAGAATGAAGTCAGTCACTTCTGAGTGATTGCTTGTTTCCCTGTCACCCATGGCAGAGACCTGCTGAGAGGCACAAAGCAAAATAAACAAATGAACTCTTGGTTTTGATCCTAGTGTCATACATAATCCCTTACAGGGTTAAGATTTAAAGCTACTTTGTAATCATTATTAATTTTAGTCTTATAGAGATACTATGACATAAATAGAAGCCAATTTCAACTGAAGATAAATTCAAAGGTTAGTTTCATTTCCTAATTTCATCAATTAGTGGACTTAGGTCTTTTATCTGTGAGTCTAGTGCAATGTCTTCCCACCCCAATGCATTTCACTTTTACAAGTACCACTTCTGTATGTATTTCACACTCATGATTTACAAAATAATTTCAACATCATGAAGCAATGGTTGGAAGTTAGACTTACAGCGACCCTATAAGACAGTGGAATTGCCGCCCATAGTTTCCTAGGCTGTAATCTTTATGGGAGCAAATTACCAAGCTGTTTCTTCTGTGCAGCTGCTAGTGGGTTTGAACGGCCAGTCTTTTGGTTAGCAGCCAGGTGCTTAACTATTTTGCCACCAGGGCTCTTTCAGAGAATCTTAGCATTCCAGAAATAGAAAATATTATTATAAAAGAACTCAAGAAAGTTGTGCATCAATACACCAAATATTAAGTAACTAACAACAATACATATAATTAAGCAAAAAATACAGCACTTGATATTAAAGAACAATTCATATACGTGCAGGTCCAAACACTATATAATGGGAAGATGAAACAATGCAGTACAAATAAGTTAAGAATTTTTGAGATATCTAATGCAATCTTTGGTCTCTCAAGATCACATCACTATACTAAAAGCTTGCTCCACATGGACTTTTGTGTAAAGTGTTAAGTCCCTTATAAAACAATAATTTATGGTGTATATATATGATGCAGAACGTAATCTTCAAAATGTCTTGAATGTGGCAACCTTTCAAAAGCAACCCATGCATCACTAAAAAAAGAAAACATTTTGTCAAGAAAGCCAACAAAAGGTTGGTGTGATGGAATCTTGATGGCACAAGTAACAAGAACGTTATAAATTAGGCACTAGATTCCATACAAGGACTGTGAGTGAAGAAACTGTATCCAGGGAAAGGTTTATGACAATTATAAAAGAAAATAAGAGTTAGCTTGGATACTTTGAAAACACTCTGCCTTGGTTTCAGACTTATCCAGTTTCCTTCAAACATCTGCAGTGGTTTAAGCAATGCCACATGTGAGGTTAAACATTGAAATACCATAATCTTTTATGGCTACAAAACAGAAAATACAACACACCAGACCAAAAAACTAAAGCAAATGGAGTTAGGTTGCATTCTTAGCCAACATTTTATTACTTTTTCCCATAGTACTTAATAACCCATACTTGGTGGCTGTATCAAAGACCAACAGTCTAAGACTAATGGGTATTCAGTATAAAGAGTAACACCTAAACCAAAAAGGCATTTTTCAGACTAATAATCAGCACCAAAGATCATTTTCTCAAGCTGACTTGGATTCCTGTTTTATTCTCAAAGCGTGTTTTTCTGAATTAAGATAGTATCAAGAAAAATGGTAGCTCGAAGTATTTGTAGAGAAGAGGATAAATACAACTGTGATTTAATAAATCACTTAGTCTCTCTCTTAAGTAAGAATAATTATTCTTGAAATTACTTACCCTGATAAATATTAACCCACAAATATAAATGCTAATGTGTATTCATCAAAGGAGGCTTTGCTATCTAAACCAAAACAAGAAAAAAAGAAAGAAGAAGAAGAAGACTTAATTGAGGATCTATGCTTTAGGTTTTCGCTATGCTGAATACAAGGACAAAACTGGCAATTGTATTTTATATTTAATTTTTGTCTACAATTGATATCATCTAGACTTAGGCATTGTAATTCATAATGTTTAGATGAAGTATTGCCTAGATCGCTTGCAAAAATGGTAACCCTGACATGAATTTCTCTGGAATCTGGCTTTCCTTGAAACGTGTGGGATGCTACCTTAACCAACCTACTCCTCTCAATTGACATTGGGTTTTTTTCAGGAAAAACACATATTTTAATTACCCTGCAGTCAAATTAAAACACACACAGATACAAAGACAGACACTCACATGTATGATCCAACTCTTTACAGGGGTTATTGTAAGGCACGGTGATATTTTTAATTGAGATTTTTTAGCTGACTTCATTTCAATATAGTACTTTCACTAATTGCATGCTCACTACCAACAATTTGTATTATCCAAGAAATAAAGAGCATGAGCTGAAAAACATCATGAGATGTTTCCATTGTATGACAGCAAAGCAAAATGTCTTGATTTTAACCAAATGAACGCCATTTTCTCTTGTTTCTTCTATGCTCCTTTAATTCAACAAAGAGAATGCTAGTGATTTTTCCTACTCATTTCCTCTTCATCATATACACATTCTCTCACATCTTTGACATGCCATCAAAAACACAACCTAAAGCTAGCATTTAGACTGCAACTCCATATAAACCAATTGGAAAACAGTTTCCAAATTAATCATTGTACTAAGTGTTTTCTCTATCTAAATTTTACTAAGGCACACAGGGAAGAGAAGCAATAAAATTCTATACTCCCCCATTTACATAAAATATTATTATCTGGAGATAAAGCAATATATAAGTGTTTTAGAAATTTTGCAAATATTCATGAGTGTCTAGAAGTTTCAGATTTAACATTGCCTTGAAGAAATGTGAATAAGTTATTTGGAGGAATCATTATAGGAAATTATTAATGCTGTGGAATAGAACACTTAAGAAGTTTTTAAATAAACCTGAGCTTTAAATGCTTAAGTTCAGAAGACCGGCAGCCAAAATCAATTGATGTAAGAATCAGTAAAATACGTGAAGTGGATTTAGAGTAAAATTTTTTTCTTCCACAGGACTTGTCTCATGGCATCTTTATCATTCTTCTTAGACAGTAGATTAAAGGATTCACCATGAGTATGAACAAAATGTAACATACTGAAGCTGCTTTACGAAGTTCAAGTTTCTTTGGGCATGTAAGATGACCCTCGAGGACATGAACTGACACAGTGGCTGCAACAATGGGTCAAACATAGCAAAGATTGGGAGGTAGCGCAGGATTAGTCAATGTTGCATTTTGTTTTACATAGAGTCACTCTGAGTCGGAACTGACTTGATGGTACCTAACAACAATAACAACAACGAGATGCACAAATGAGACAGTCCCATAGAGCATACTCAACTCCCAGGTGGGACTTACAAGTAGAGAAGTCTTTCTTCCTTCCTTCACTGGAGCAGATCTTTAAGGATATGAACACAATATACATGTAAGATACTACAATAACAACTATTGTGGGCATATTAATGATTACAGCCAAACTAAGTGACACCATCTTATTGATAAAAATATGGAAAGAGTAGTTCTTCTTAATTGGATTATAATCATGGTAGAAGTGATCAATGACTTGAGAGGCATAGGAAAACACGGAGAAAGTTACACTGATTTGAAGAATGGAGCTGAACCAGCCACAGAGATAGGAACCAGCCACCAACAGAATACAGAGACTTCTTGATATATAGACAGCATACAGGAGTGGACTGCACATGGCAAGGTAGTGGTCATAGGCCACGGCTGCCAGGACAGAAAGAGTAAAGGAAGAGCTGAGCCACACAATTTACAAAGGATATGGTCTATTGTACCATGGCTTTGGGTACAATAACTGTGGAGTAGGAGAGGTCAATAACAGAGAAGTTACCAAGGAAGAAATACATTGACGTGTTCAGGCGGGGATCAGTCACAATGATGCCAATCATGCTAAGGTTCCCCAGAAGGACCATGACATAAACAATCAGGAACAGTGGGAAGAGGAGACTGTGGAGCTCTGGATGAAACCTGATGCCTACAAGAATGAAGGCAGTCATCTCCAAGGGGTTGTCCCCTCCCTTGTCACCCATGGCAAAGTTCTGCTTGAAAGTATAAGAGAAAGTCAACAAATAAACTTTCCACTTTTTCCCTAATCTCACAAATAACACTTCACATTATGGAAGACTTTACAGCTGACATAATACTTTTATAAACATCCCATTTGTGCCTCACATGAGCGAACTAATGATGAGAGATACTTTGCCTTGTGTAAGGTAATGATTCCTCCAAATAACTTACAAAAATGGAATTTGGACTCAAAGTGAGTCAGATTCAAATTTTGTGTACAAGTCTGGTGTTATTTTCAATAAAACATAGTCTGATATATTTTTAGATCTCTTTATCTTGTCATTTGAGATGGTTTATGATTGCCATTTGAGATAGAGATGGTAATTTGAAATTAAAGTCTAATAAACTTCTAACGTTAAGAAAAAGACACTTTCCTAAATTTTAACTTATTTAATATTCATTTTTTCTCTCTAATAACACTTTGCTTGATGCACTAATAAAAATAGATAGAAGAAAATGAAACTAAAAGTACTTTCTGAGGCAACATGAACTTTTCACCAAAAAAACCCCTAGAACTGCAAATAAATTACCAAAGAGTTAATTGTCTTACTTTAAAGCAGAGCCAATCTTCAGCTTCTGGAATTAGTCTAATTTTATTTAAGTGTGAGAGTAAAATGTGAGTGATGCCTTTATATTTCTTATTATCCTGTAAAGTTTATTGATCCTACTTTTCTCTAAATAAAAGTGTAAGAAAATCCCCATCATCTCCAACTATTCCGAATTTGAGAAAAAATTAGAAGCTTCAAAGTAAGGCACAAATCTAAGAAGTTTACTACATAAAAGATTAGAGAACAAATTTTATTAAACTATTCACCTGATGGTTGAAAACTTAGTTGTTTTAAGAATAAATAAGTACAGATTTCCTCGAAGCATACAAGTTAACATACTTGGATTTGGCCGACATGCTAACAACCAAAACAACTTTGGTTATTTGGAGTATTTCTAGAGTTTTTCATTTTTTTGGCTATGAAACAACACATTCATTGGCAGTCTTGCAATTCAGGACAACCCTGCCACTTCTTTTCTTCTTTGGTGGCATTTAAACAAAGTGTCATAGGAAAGATTTTTAAGATATGCTAAAATCACTCCACAAACATTTCTTACTTCTGCAACACTTCACAAACTTAATAAGCCTTGTCTGTTGATCTTATTTAAAAAGAGAAGAAGGAAGAGGAGGTG